CCCGCCGCCCCCTTATAAGTCCAGGTTTTGTAAAGTATTTATTGTGACTTCTCTGTTTTCTAATTTTAAAAATCTAATCTGTTTGAAAATAGATCTATTATCAGAAGATCCACTTCATTGCAAAGACAATAGTATTCTGTTTTAATTTGATATTCAATACATTTCCATTCATCCATTCCATCTGAATACTCACTCAATACACTCTCGAACAGTTTTTCGTTTCTTTGATTTCGCATAGTTTTTCCCAAGCCTGATTTTGTAAGATCAATTTTGAGTGACCCTATCTTGGGCGTCTCTGAACAGAGATGAAATATTAGTGTGTCGGGTGATGCAGAATGTTTAGCTTTAAACTACTGCATACGTTGGTAGTGCAAGGCTATAACACGATGATTTGGTGATCACGATTTCAAGTTTCTGACGCCACTTCATATAACTAGCTGGACTCCCTTTCGATGAAGGAATGATCGGTGCATTAACATCAATCGAAAGTCATTGGCCTACTATATTTATACTCTACTCGAATGGAGCAAAGAATCTTGATTTAGAGATGCAGAAAATAAGGTCTAGATCTAGATCTACACTCTCGAAACAAAATGCGCCTGGCGAAATATCACTTCCAGCACTTCCGCTGTGAAGGACAGCTACTCAGATTTGTTTCGTGTCTCATTGGAATAATTACAAAGGCCAAAGAAGGACGAGAACGTTTTGTCAAATATGTTTTTCTAAATTCAGGAAATGAACAAATAAAAAATTGGGCTCCGTCATGGGGACCTATCTATATTTTTGCAGGTGCGTAACTTTCAACTCTGTAGCTGTCGTAGTTTTATGGGAAAAGTGACACATGTGTTTCTAAGTTGCCAAATATATATACATACAGAGAGAGATAGATAGATAGATAGATAGATAGATAGATAGATAGATAGATAGATAGATAGATAGATAGATAGATAGATCTAGATCTAGATCTAGATCTAGATATTTTGTTTGTTTTGTTTTTGTAAAGTGTTTTACGGCGCTCGCAACTGCATAAGGTCATATGAGCGCGCGGGACACACCCAATATTTTCAGTTGGTAAGAATTTTTGAATTTACCCGGGTGGCGGCCAAAGCCTACTCTTATCGCTTTTAGACCACCAAGGGATCCTTAACGTGCGCAACTTGCACTCGGGCCCTCCGAGATTTTTCGCCCTTG